TTGAAATTTAAATGTTTATAAAAAAAACTATGACTAAGGATTTTTAATTTTTTTCATCTTCCTTTGAGACAATATAGTAGGAGCTTTCTATTAAATCTTCGAGCTTTCACAACCAACAAATAAAATTTAATTGATATTTCTAGAAAAAAAAATGAAAATGTCCCTAAACAGTTCAAAGTAAAACAAAACATTTTATCGTGTATAGAAAATGCTAATATAAACATTCAGTCAAAATTTCGGTACTCGTCTAATATGCTACCTAACCATAAAATGGTATCTTCCAAAACACTGTATGCGTTCAAAAATTGACAAAATATGGAAAAATCACGAAAATTAGCAAATTATTTTGAGTTAAGAATTCTTAAAAATTTTTCTTTCTAAATCTAAGATTTGAAAATGTAATACAAGATTTCTTATGAGATTATCTACCTTTATCAAAAAAAATTATCTATAAGGAAGTCAAATTAAAATTTTTATGAGCGTTTGAAATTCAAATTCTTACAACATAGGATTTTCACTCGATTTCTCATGTAGTGATTTTCTTATTTTATTGTAATTCAAAAACGAATAACTGTAGATACATGAACATTTTAATGAATATTTATTTTAGCATTTCCTATACACCATACAATTTTGAAAATATTTTGACTCTTTTTGGGCTGTTTACGGACATTTTCAGTTTCCAGTTTTTTTAGTTTTTTTATTCCATAAATATCAATAAAGTTTTATCTGTTGGGCCAAAAAGTGTAAAAATTTAATGCAAGGCTCCTGATATATTGTTACAATATCAGTTGAAAAATATTAAAAATATACATACACAGTTTTTTTTTATAAAAATTTTTAAGAAATTTTTATCAAATCTCAAAAATTATCAATCATTGTAATTAATAAATTATAAAATGTTCAGTTTTTATAGCTAAGGATTGCAAATTTAAAACAAAGGTTCTCATAAATAGTTCATACTGTAACCAAAAAATCTAAAAAATATATGCACACAGTTATTTTTTACAGACATTTTAAATTCAAATTTGGACAAAATTACATATTAAAATACCTAGAATAACTATTTTAGTTATTTTGTTGTGATAGACTAATATTATTCGTGGGTACTTGAAACTTCTAAAGTGTAGGTACTATTATATATCTATGATAGTATCACGGTTTTTGTTGATGTATAACGCGTTATAAGTACCTAATGGATATTGTGATATGATTAATTTGGAATTTATTATAGGTACCTATTATAGGTAAAATTTTGGTTTAGTACCATAGATATGTATGTAATATGTCTTATACCTAGACTGACATACCGTCTCCGCTCAGAATCGTTTTTCTTATACAATGATATTATTATATTATTATATTATTATTATTATATTTGAATTTAAATTTAATATCATCTATTATACAGTGACACACTTGTAACCTACCGTACAGCAGAGCGACACCCACTTGCCCACCTTTTTTTAATTTAATTAATATTTATAATATGCATAAAATAATATTTGAATTGATCGGCGGTCATTTAACGGATAACTGATAAGTACGTTTATGTTTATGTAAGTAATAAGTAGGTATATGTAATGCTCTATACTGAACGGGGCTTGCAAACGTTATAATAACGTTATGATTAAAACGTTATATTTGAAAAATAGCGGTTGAAATTTGTAAACGTAATTATAATGGAAAGCGATAATCAAAAAGTATTAAATACCTCAAAACAAAGTATAACGAATAACAAAATATATAATAGGTATATTATTAAACAAATAAAATATCGCAAAACGTAATTTATACTTTATAGAATATCATTAAACGAAAAATAACGCAAAACAAAATTATTTGAAAATTTAAAATCCATTTATTTAAAAGTAAGGTATATTGGTTTCGTAGAAATTTATTTTATTTCATACTATTTATTTTTGTCTTGGAAAAAAATCTAAGAATTGATTATATTATATTCCGTATCCGGGACATTACCTACCCACATTTGTTGGAGTTATTGATAAATTATAAACTGAATTTCCACTAGCAAATACCTACTTAGTAAAACAATAATTATTAATAATAATTAATGATGCCCCGATATGTGCGTTGTAGAAGTATAGAGTATAGACTTATTTTGGATTCACTCTGTACTTTGTCTACTCTGTTGTCTGTACTACACTACTACTGCGATCCTCTTGTGGGTGTTAAAGTATATTATACTGTTATTAAAACATCCGTTTTATTTATATTAGCAACATATTAAAACAAATAACGCAATTATGGATAGAACATTTTTTTAACCCAGTACTGAAAATGCAAAGGTGGGCATTAACTTGTTAAAAAGTTAATTTTTTATAACTTTTTAACTTATCTAGTTAATTATTTTTGTCTTTGGCTTATTAGCTTATTCAGTTAAAATTTCCAACTCAATTATATAAAATACCTAGGTGTAAGGTATATAGAATACCATTTATACCAATATTAAATATTAATAAAATAATAAATTATAATTTTCTGGTAATTATGTTGAAAAAAATTAACTAGTAAATTATTTTTTGGATTGTTGGAAAATGCTGGGTAAAATAACGTTTTTATTCTAAATAACAAAAAACGCTAAACTTGGATAACGTTTTAATTCTGAATAACGATAAACGCAAAACTTGTGTAACGTTTTAATTGTAAATAATGTAGAACGAATTTTTTTCAAATGCAAGCCTTGTAGGTAGTTACTTATTATATGTACATTTTTTTTTAATACCATAAATAAGTATATAATATGTCTTATACCTAGACTGACATACCGTCTCCGCTCAGAATCATTTTCCTTATACAATGATTGTATCATTGTATTCAAATTTAATACCATCCATTATATTATAGTGACCCACTTGTAACCTACTGTACAGCAGACTGACAGCCACTGGCCCACCTTTTAGATTCTGAGTGAAACGATGAATGTATTGGTTTTACAGTGATGAGTGTTTTTTTTTATTTTTGTGTCTGTCATAACCTTTTATTACAGTAAAAATTCTTAGATTTTCTTCAACAGTATCTTTTCTGATAGGAAAGTGAATCTTGTTGGTACTTTGGCTTGTGCAAAGTAAAAATTTTCAAGTAGTTTTCAGAAGCGCGATGAAAAACAAAAGAAAAATTAAAGAAAAACGGGAATTTGTACGCAAAATCTGTTTTTGAAAAAACCTATTTTGGTTTTTGGTGCAACTCAAAAACAAATGACCGTAGTGAAATTTTGACTGAATGTTTATATAAGCATTTTCTATACATCATACCATTTTCCAAATAATTTGACTCTTTTTGAGCTGTTAACGGACATTGTAAGTTTTCATTTTTTCATTTTTTTTTTCTATAAATATCCATAAAATTGTATTTGTTTGGTAAAAAAACGTGGAAATTTAATTCAAGGCTCCTGATATATTGTTAGAATAGCAGTTGAAAAATATTAAAAATACATAGGCACAATTTTTTTATAAATATTTATAGTTCAAATTTTGACAAAATTTATCACATTTAAAATTTAATAATAATTTTGTAGTTAAAAATTTATAAAATGTTCAACTTTTATAGCTAAGGATTGAAAATTTAAAACAAAATTCCACATAAATAGGTTATATATAAATTGCTTTATTCACCTTAATATCATCAAATATAGTTCGAAATATCATAGGCTGACAGTTTGAGCTCAGAATCGTTTTTCTTATAAAATGATATTATATTGACATTGACTTCAAATTTAACACCATCCATTTCGCATTACAGTGACCCACTTGTAACCTACTGTACAGCAGAGTCACACACAGTTACCTACTTACCTGCTTTTTTAAATTTTAATCTTAATTTTAATAAAATTAAATTATCACGCACCTGCGTTTAATTTTTATGAAATACCTTGAATACAATATTTTCATTGTTGTTTGTGGCAATGTGGTGGATTGGACCAAAGACAAAAAATATTTATTTTAAAAATGACCAAAAAAGAATCTAACTTTAAGATAGTAACATAATATTACATAATATTAATAATATTATACAATATATTATACTACTATATCCAATAGGATAATGTTCATATTATGTACTATTTATTATATATTTTATTGTTTTGTGTCTGAAGACATTTTTTATCGCACCTAAAATCGCACGACAAAATTTAATTGTGATGTAAATGAGGTACAAAGAAAGATACATAACTTACGTAATCAGGTGTGTATATTAATTGTTAAGTTCTATATTTAGTATAAAATAATTTAAAAATAATTAATAATATTATATAATAGTTTATATAGTAGTTTAATATTTTTTTTATTCAATTGAACTTTTCAGGTTTCACACGAACTTCAAAAGATGAAAAAGGTGAAGAGTGGTGATGGTGCAGATGACAGATATGAAAGTAAATGGAAGTTTTTCTCTGCATTGAAGTTCATTGTACCCTGCTTTATACCAACAAAAACTACGTCAAACATGGTTAGTATAATATTTAAATAATTTGTATTTATGTCAATAAAATTGTATGTACTTATAATTATTCAACATATGAATGGATATTGCCATTGAACCTCACCAGCAGTTGTCATAAAATATTCTCTAAATTCGTCTCTCACATCTTTTTGAGATATTGAATAATTCCGCTGCCGTCCCCTTTCTAGTGGAAACAATGTTCCTTCTGGTTGAAGTTCATTTCGCCATTCGCCATTTACAATTTCACGAGTAATAGGATTTTCCGAATCAACCGAACCCGGGCACAAATAATAATTTGATGTAGAAATCAAAAAGTTATGCAATGCACATGTTGCCAGAGTAACATATTTTACTTTGTGAGGCGCTAAATGTATTGGTTTACGGAGGATTCTGAATTTACTGGACATAATGTCAAATACATTTTCTATAATACGGCGAGCCCTGCTTAGTCTATAGTTAAAAATTCGGTTCGGCGCAGGTTGATTTCGGAACCCATAGGGCTTTAAAATGTATGACGTCATAGCAAAGGCATCATCTGCTACCATTATGTATGGAACTGGCAAATGTCTTTGAGGTAGTGCTTCTGGTTCGGGAAGAGTTAACTGTTTGCTTTCCAAAGCATCGTGTAGGGAGCAGTTATTGAATACCCCTCCGTCAGAAATTCTACCATTGCATCCAACATCAACATAAATTAATTTATAATTGGCATCTGCAACTCCCAACAAACAATGCTGTGTGTATTCTTATAGTTATAGTAAAGGCTTCCACTATTTTGTGGAGCCACTATTGTAATATGTTTGCCGTCAATTGCTCCAAAGCAATGTGGGAATTGCCATTTTAATGCAAATTGATTTGCACATTTCTTCAATTCTTCTGTGCTAGAAGGACACTGAAATAAAAATACATTATTGCTTAAAATAATTATAAAAACAAATCTAGCTTAAGTCAATAAAAAAATTTTACGAGCGTCTAAATTTTAAATTTTTAAGATTATAGAAATTTTAAAATTTTAAATTCAAGTGTAAAATAACGATTTACTATAAAATGGTTTTAGATATTATTATAATATATTATTGAATTCAAATTTCTTTTTATTAATATATTATATTGGCCCAGGTCATTTACTTGTTTGTTGTTACCACAACACACATTCTTTATTTTTTAATTTTTTACTTTTCAGAGTATCCAGAAAAACTTAGAAAGTTCGCAGAGTGAGCCAACCCTAAATGAACCAACACCGAGTAAAAAAAAAGTTTCCAACAAAAGGCAGTCCCAAACTAACAATGATGAAGATACATATTTAAAGGAAGCCATTGACATTATGGAAAAGCCGAAAACCGATTTTGAGCGCTTTGGAGATTACGTCGCTTTGGAATTAAAATCTTTAAAATCAGATTACTACAGAGGGCTACTGAAAAGTGAGATTCGTAAATCAATAGCAAATATTGCTGAAATGGACGAAAGAAGCCACTGGTCTACCTATTCAAGTACAAATTTTTCATCATGCTCCACCCCAATGCCTACGCCATCACCTACTTTCGCTGAGAACATTCCTCCGTCAACAAGTAAAGAGCCTCAGACAACCCAAGAATATTATGATTCATTCACTGATTTGTTTTAAGTAAATATAATAATTTAAATTTGTACTCTAGTTACGTAAAACAGTGATAATAAGTGATATTATGTAATAAAATATAAAGTTAAAAATGTTAAGTTCAAATCAAAATTAATTAAGAAATTGTTCAATAAAAAAAATAATAATAATACATGTTTATACATACCTTTAAATATTTTTCCTTTAAATTATCATAAATAGCTTGGCATACTTCGAAAACTATTCTTCCAATTGTACAAGGTGGAATGCGGAAAAGGTATTGCAAACTACTGTAAGCATCTCCTAAAAGAGAAAATGATACTTAAAACAAAAAAATCCAAAAACAAATATATATATATATATATATATATATATATATATATATTATATAGGGTGTCCCACGGAGATTTACACAGAGCGATATCCCCCTTGTTAATAGAGATAATCGAATTCTGTTTTTTTTTATTTATTATTTATTATATATTTTACTTATAGAGCTAAAATATTTATTTGATCTAGTATACAACATACTATATATATAAAACCACATACGTACCTGAAGCCAAAAAACGGAGGGTGACCATTAATCTGTCATGAACAGGAATCGCTTCACGCAATTGTGTATCTTGCTTGACAATCTGGTGTTTTATTAAATCCAAAAGCATTTCAAATTGCACTGCAGACATCCGAATAAAATTTTTAAACTGCTGTGCATCCTCCAAAACCGAAGCTCATTTACAAGATTTGAAGCGGCTCCCAAGTCACTTCGACGGTCCACCCATTTCCTAACCCAACATTTCTTTTTTCTTTTTTCTTTTAGCTTCCGTTTTTGTACAATATTATGCGCAATTATAAAAGCTAGGGCCTGACGCGAATCCATTTTGTAAAAAAAGAAAGAAAAAACACTCAAATTTGTAAAAAAACACGTGTACACGCGGTCAAGTCCCACACAAGACTGTGTGTGTTAACTCTCTAGTCGACACGATATTGTCTTGGTCTCGAGATTAATGTCACTTTCGAGTCTCCAAAACCTATCTCGAGACCGTGATTGATCTCAAATGGATAACATCCCGAGATCAATCTCGAGACTTTCTCTCGAGCTATAATCTCAAGTGGACACTTACCTTAAGGTGATCTAATGAGAGTTATTTGGATGATATTTTCTATAATGTAACAGAATGTAACAGGAACGTATGCTATGATCATGATTGCTGTTTAGCGAGTAGGTACTGCTTCCGCGCTTCGTCGCAACAGCCGCCGAGCAGCCGCCGCCGCCACCGTCGAAACTGAAGAAAAGTTACGATTAGTTCATGAGTTCCTGGTACTTCTCGCACCTAGTTTTATTAAGTTCGTACGTTTTAGTAGCGTTTTAAGTTTTTACCCACCAGATCAACCCCACAAACCAACAATATTATTATTATTGTGCCGCCGCGTTTAATATGGGGCGATTTTCTGTCTTTGTCTAACACACGTGCAACATAGGATTATAGACGTGTTCTATTTCCAACGTACCGATTAATCTAGTGAAGCGATAAGAATTCTGAAAACAGATTTGAATTTGTCGTCAAGTATTCATGAGATCGACTTTCCCACATTTTAGATTTTTTGATTTAAACTTCTCCAAAAATTGAAATATGTAAATCTTTTAATTACTCTTTTTAATATATCGTTTTTATGATTTTGGGGGGGGGGATACTATCAAAAATGTGGAAAAGTAGATTTGATGACAAATTCAAATCTGTTTTCAGAATTCTTATCACTTGACTAGATTAATCGGTACGTTGGGAATAGAACACGTCTATACTGCCCTCCTAAGCCAAAAGGCAATAAAAACAACATTTGAAAAATGAGTTTATTATATCAGAGTATTCGTTATTTTAAGGCAAATTTTTTGTTTCCTTAGCAAAAATACCTTAAATGCAGTAGATTGTATAATAAACGTGGTTAAAGTTTATGTTAAATAACGATAAATGCAAAACTTGGATAACGTTTTAATTCTGAATAACGATAAACACAAAAATTGTTTAACGTTTTAATTCTGAATAACGATAAACGGAAAAATTGGGTAACGTTTTAATTCTGAATAACGATAAACCCAAACATTGTGTAACGTTTTAATTGTAGATAACGTAAAACGGAATTTTTTTTTTCAAATGCAAGCCATGATACTGAAATAATATGCGTTTGCATAATATGTGTTAATTAATTTTAATCACTATGAA